CCATCTCCCCCCCACACACACACACACACGCAGAGGCGGGCCAGTTAGAGAAAAAGGAAAAAGCCCGTTTCTTCAAACAGGGAGCTACCTGTGGGCCATTTGAAGGGAGGGTCAAGTTACAGGGAGGTAGATTGGGAATAAGAACACGGTGGTATCTCAGATAAGGGATGACTATAAAGGGATTCAGATGAGCTGAGAATCCCATCATATGTCACAAAAGAGGTGATGAGAGACCCAGAGGAACAGCAGGTCATTCGAGCTGTCCGTAGGTGCACTTCCTCCCTGCATCAGTTTCGTAAGGACTCACTGCGTCCTTCCTAAAACCGTCGGCCTACCTGGAGAGAGAGGATTCGAGGATAGTGGCACAGACATGAGGCAGGCCCAGAGGGATCACAGAACTTTAGCCGGGTCCTGCAAATTGTGGGTTTGGTACCTTAACTATTTAGCAATGTAAAAATGAAATCCCCGCATTTGCTTTGTTCTGAACTAAGCCCAGGGCTGGGGAGGGCTACCTGCGAAGTGGAGGTGGAGAAAAGCTACAAAAAACGAGAGAAACAGAATTGGGGTTTTCAGAAGGAGCCCAGGGCGAGGGAGGTGGGGGCAGAGTTGTGATAGGAAAAAGAGAAGGGAAATAAAACTGGTTCAGTTGCACACTACAGAGATCCAGGATTTTGTGTAAATTATGTAAATACTCTGGTGTATTCCTAGTAACTTCAAAGAGAAATACAAACCACACGTGATTGTAAATTTCTAGTAGCTACATTAAAAAAGTAAAAAGAATCAGTGAACTTATTTTTAACGTTTTTTTAAAGTAACTCAAAATATTGTTTGAACCTATATTGAGTATAGAAATTATTAGTGAGATACTTTACATTACTTTTTTGGTACCAAGTCTTCAAAATCCTGCATGTGTTTTACACCACATCTCACTTTAGCCACTTTTCGAGTCCTAGCAACCACGTGCGGCTAGTGTAGTGGCTATTGTACTGGACCAGACATGCAGTTACATAGAAGGTGCATCTTCCTGATCTGGCCTCCAAATCACCTGAGATTATCATGTAAATTCCATGTATACTCCTGTGGACCTGCTAACAAGTTCAAGGATCGATAGTGTCTTGTATCGAAGTGCTTGGTAGCAAGGTGGCACAATATAAATATCCTGATAGGTGCAGGTATTATTATTTAGATGGTAATTATATGAATAATTTTTTTCTGCAACTATTTGCAGAAAATGTCGGTGAAAAAATGCTAGTTTGTGGAGGCAGCATAACACAGTGGTTAGTTAAGAATGCGGAGTCTAGAGCCAGCCTGCTTGAATCCTGGCTCTACCATTCTTACCTGCGCGTATGGCAAGTTACTAACCAGTCTGCACCTCAGTTTCCCCATCTGAAAAATGGAGGTGATAATGCCTATCTCCATAGAGCTGTGAGGAGTAACTGAAGTTATGCATGTAAAGCACTCAATACAAGATAAATGCTTAGCAGTACTTTCAAATGCCAGTGATTTATGTTTTATTTATTTTTTTAACCAGAAGTGAAAAGAGCTGTTGGGAAATAAAATCCTCAAAGATTATAGATCTCTTTTACTTCAATTGTGCTAGATAAATTCAGTGAGATTTTCTAAGTAGGAGACTAGCATCACATGCATTAAATGGGGCCCTGATCACCCAGTGGAGGGAAAACTTGGAAGAGATGCCTCCTGCCCAGGGCGAGGAGGAGATGGAGACTCTAGGAGAGAAGTTCCCTTGTTCTCTGAATATGTGCCACCCAAGACGTTGTTAAAACCATTGGTTGTTCAGTAATAACTCTTGTCGTTTTTGTTCAGCAAGGCAGAGGATCGGATATTTGAGGTTGCCTTATTCCAGTGAACTATATTTTTAGGGGCGAATATTATACACTTTAAGCAAATAATAACAGACACTATTTTGCACTGCTTACTGTGTGCCAGCTACTATGCAGAGATATCATTTAACCCTCACAGCCAACCTATGAGTTGGGTATCATTCTTACCCTAGATTTGTAAGTAAAGAAATGGAGGTCAAGTTTAAGTAGCGCCAGGATTTTGCAAGGACACTCCATGTGGATCTAGAAAGGAAGGTGTTGGCTAATTAAAAGTGGCTTGTGAGTAGAATTAGGTCTTAAGATTTAAGTAGCAGATACTGCCAGGAGGAGGTGAAAGTGGCCAGAACATCTTTGTTCCAGATTTCTTGAAGGTGAAGAATGTGGATTGAGTGTCTTTGTCAGCGTTTAATGAAAGCCTGCACTCCTCCAGAAATTGAAGCTGAATACAAAGGCATAAATTAGGTCCTTCTCTAACATCTTTCTTTCTCATCGGCGTAGGGAAAGGAAATTACTGGACCCTGGATCCAAACTGTGAGAAGATGTTTGACAACGGGAACTTCCGTCGGAAGCGAAAGCGCCGCTCTGAGGCCAGCAGCAGCTCCACGGTGGCTGCAGGGACATCAAAATCAGAAGAAGGTCTCTCCTCAGGATTAGGGTCGGGAGTGGGTGGGAAGTCAGAAGGAGACGGCCCCTCTGCTTTGCTAAGGCCTTCCCAGTCCCCAGAGCCTCCTGAGGGCACCAAGAGTACTGTCTCCTCTCCAGGAGGACCCATGCTCAACTCCACCCCTTGCCTCAACACCTTCTTCAGCAGCCTCAGCACCTTAAGTGTCAGCAGCAGTGGGAGCACCCAGCGAGCTCTCCCTGGAGGCCACCACCTCCCTGGGATCCAGGGGGCCCAGCTGCCCGCCAGCAGCACGTTTTCCCCCAGCTCCATCTCGGAAGCCTCACCAGACACCTTGCAGCTGAGTAACAGCACCAGCAATGGCAGCAGCCAAAGATCTTCCTATTATAGCCCTTTCCCTGCCAGCACCAGCGGGGGTCAAAGCACCCCCTTCAGCCCCCCTTTCTACAACTTCAGCATGGTCAACAGCCTCATCTACCCCCGGGAGGGCTCTGAGGTATAGAGCGCTACTTCTCAGACTTGAACATGCACACCTGAGATCTTGTTAAAATGCAGATTCCAAGGCAGTAGGGCTGGGATGGGAACTGAGGTTCCGCATTTCTCTGGGGCTCCCAGGTGACCTTATGGTCCATTGACCACGCTAGGAGTAGCCTGGGTATAGTGGATAACTCTTTGTACAACCCAGCAAGCCTTTACAGGTTTCTCTGGATAAGGATCTCCCTGGAGAGAAATCCACCCCACTCTGTTTTAGGATAGTACCTGAGGACAGAGACCATGTCTGTTTTGTTCATCACCGTATGTCAGGGTTACAAGCTCAAATGTGTACACAGGCTAGCTAAACAAACAACTGAAAGAAGTTATTGGGTAGGAAAAAGATAGCAATTGGCAACTGAGCAATAGGGAGTGGTTGGGACTGACCAGCTGAAGGCGGTTGTGGATGGCTAGTTATCTGCTGCCTGGCACCATTCTGATTTTCCTGGAAAAGTCAGATATCTGTATTTTTATAGGAAACCTCCACTTGAATTCTTTGTCACTAATTAAAGTTTTAAAAATGCTGTACTAGGAAATCCCACAATCCTTGAGCTATATCCAGCTCATGAATCACCTCCGCTTAATACTTAGTGTCTGGTACATGGTAGATACTAATAGCAATAAAACTACCCGAGCAAGCACCTGTGTGTCAGGTGCTGTTCTAGACACTTGACTCACAACGTTGGGAGATAGGTCTTATTACAAGCCCTCATTTTCATCTGAGGGCAGTGAAACTCTAAGATGTTAGGTAACTCACCTAAGGCCATACATTTAGTAAGTAAGTCATGGAGCCAGGATCAGGTCTAGGCATTCTGGCTCTAGAGCTGGTGCTTGTAACTTTGTGTTCTAGTTCTTGAAAAATAAAGGTGCCAGCAATCATAGGCAAACATAGTATATAGAGGGTAGGAATGAGCTAGATCACATTTGACCAAAGATTCTGGTGGAAATAAATAATGCTTGAGATGTTCCCCTGAGCAGCGAGGACAGACACCACTTCCACTGCCATGTTCCTAAGGCCTGGGGCGACCACAGTCCTAGCTAATTTGGTGTCCTGTCCCTTTTAGCATGTGTCCTGAATTTCATATTTTCAAAAACAAAGCATTAGAATTTTATTAAAAGTAGTTTTAAATGGAATTTTTATAGACTTTTAATAAACCATTTGTGGTAAGATTTTTTAAAAACGTAATTTATTTTTAGCAGTTTTTTTTGCTGCTCGAGAGGTGTCTTCATTTGAATAATTTTTATGGTCACCCTCCCAGTGTCCAGCAGAGTGGCTGGCCTTGTACATAGCAGACATTCAGTCACTGCTTGAACTTAATCCCAAAAGTGTTAGCTGATTTTATTGGAATAGCGTTGCATTAAGGTGAAGATAATGTCCTATGAATTGCCTTTGTACCATGTTGTTGGTTTGGGGTTTTAACTTTTTTAAAAAAAGAAACAAAGAGTATCATTGTAAAAAAAATTTAAGTTTTCCCTGTATATTCTTTTTTGAGACTCTTAGAGCATTACTCAAAATTTTATTTTGAAATAACTTACAAAAAATTATTTTCTAAAATAGTTTATTGAGGTGTAAGTAACATCACCATTATGTTTAACTATGATATACAGGCATACTTTGTTTTATTGCACTTCACAGAAGTTACCATTTTTTACAAATTGAAGGCAAGACCCTCCACCAGCAAAAAGATGACTTGCTGTATTGTGCTGCTCACTTTATGGCGATGGTCTGGACCCAAACCTGCAATATCTCTGTGGTATACCTGTAGCAAGACAACCAAAGATACTACCTACCCCCATCCTGTGTGTACAAAAAAACAGTTTCAGTGGATATTATCCACTATGAAAAATCATGGACTTTTATAAATATTGTTTCTAATACAATTCTATATTTGTGAATTAATTTATAATGTGAACTGAGACAAAAAAAATTTTTCCCCAAGAAAGTACACTGCATGCTGCGAATCACATGAAATAAACTTTAAGTGGGATGACTTCTGGCTATTTTTCGCCATTACTGTTTGTCTTCAGCTTCTTTCTCCTAAAGGAATGGAGATGTAAGTGGCAGGGCACCAAAACCACTACTGGGACTTTGTGAGTGTTGAGAGAGGGAGCTATTGCTTTTTCATTGGAGTTGTCCCACCTACCCACCTCCGGAAGGGCCAGATGAAACATTTACTCTTTGGGGAGGGTCTACAAGCATGTGAGCATTTTATTACAGAATAACAGTTCTGTCATTTAGATTAAAGTGAATTTCAGCGCACGAGACAATGTTCTGGAAAGAAATGGTGCTGGAAGGCCTTACTGGTTGGTAACACTTCTCAGGTGGAGCTCTACAGCCCTGGGTTTCGTGGTCCTCAAGGAGACCAAAGGGAGCCCATCATTTCCAAGGGAATACTAGGAAACTGTTGAACTTGCTTAGGGTTTTTGAGCATTGACACTATTGATATTTGAGGCTAGATAATTTGTTGTAGAGGTTGCCGTTTGCATCACAGGATGTTTAGCAGTGTCCCTGGTCTCTACCCATTAGATTCCAGAAGCAACCCCTCTCCCTCTGGCCCTGGCCATGTGTGACAACCAAGAGTTATCTCCAGACATTGCCACATGTCCCTTGGGGTAAAAATTAACCCTGGTTAAAAACCGCTGGTCTAGACCAACACCCATGATTTGCCAGTGAGGAAAGGGAGCCCCTTCATTGCTCCACACAAAGTCCTAGGTCCTAGAGTAAGTGGTTGAGCTCTGAACAAATTAGGCCTCTAAGCTTCTGGTACAGGACAGGTTCTGTCCTCTGAGATGCCTTTTCTCCCAAAGAGAATCACTTGTGAGCAGGTGCAACCCAATAATAGTCACTTCTCAGGACGGATCTACGGGTTTGCCTTGTCAGATGGGACGTAGACTCCTTCAATATTTTAGTTGCTGATTATAGGTTCTTATAATTATTTAGCATCTAATTATTTCTATTAATGGAGACCTAGGATGAGGATAAACCTGATTAAACAGTAGTAAACTATCTGGGTTATTAATTTGGGGGCGGCAGGGGGTGGGGAGGGACATGGACATAAAGATTCTCAGAAAGGAAGACAACGTTAGAAGAACATGATTCACCTGTATTTGGAAGTATCTAGATCTGGGTGGTTGATGGATATTGATATTAAATACCAGAACAATGGTATTTATGAGGACAAAGGTGATGAGAAGAACCTGATCTGAACAATTAACTGCAAAGGGCAGCAGCATGGCTCAGTCCCCACTCCCAGGACTGAAGAAGCTGTGCTAAGAGCAAGTCTCTATCCGGGAGCTGCCTCCTGCTGGGCATGGGATTAAAGGGGAAGGGACTAAGCTGCCGGTGCCTGTGATGTTTCCGGGTCAAAGTCTGCACCAGCGTTCCAATTGGCACTGATTGCCTGCATCTGCAACATTTTCTGCCTGAGAATCAGGTCAGAAGTGATGGATCTGAGCTAGATTTCACTTTCTGGTGTTCGGAACAGTGCAGAGGAAAAGATGTGGACCCGCGACAGATAGTTAAGCACCCCTCTTTCCCTGAAGTTTCCTCAGGGATTTAGGAGCTGATGTCAAATTGCAGCCCAGGCTGAGGCCAATTGGGCACATTTATAACTTAAAGTAGCTGTCTTCTGGCTGTTTTGGACCTAGTGTACCATTCAAGGCAAAGGAGAATCTGACAAACTAAGTATTATAGGTTTCAGGTTTTCTTTATTAATACTTTTATCCTGCCACCTGTTGGCAGCTCAGCGGCAACTCAGCTCAGGCAGGTAATCAAACCGGCGACCCTGTTGCTCAGACCTTGCACTCTTGAGCGAGCTCTTAACCAACTGAGCCACTTGGCTGGCCCTTTCTTAATACTTTTAGATCCTTCATCCCATTCTTGAACTTAATGGAAAAAGGCTTTGAAAACTGTATGCCTTTGTACCCCAACTCCTCCCCCAGCCCCTGAACGTGCTCAGTAGCCCCTCCCAGGGCAAAGTGGGCATCACTGAACTTCAGCGGAAGCTCCCAAATTGTGCTGCTCTCTCTTCCTCTCTGAGAGTCCCAGAATTTGGAAAGAGCCTAAATTTTCAGGGTCTAACTGAGTCATGTTTTTTCTAGATGCTCTAGTAGCTGAAACCTTGAGATTGTTAATGAAAAAGAAACCCAGTGGTTTCCTGAGGCAGACAGGGATTTGCTGTTTTCTGGGATAGGGACCTGGCAGCCAAGGTGGCCTGGCCGTTTGTTAGAAAAGCAGTCCTCTAGGGCGGGGAGCTGGGTGGCTGGCACCGCTGAAGAAAGAAGAAATTTCCTGTCAGATTTGAAGGCAAAAAAGACCAGGTTCCTGCTGTATTCCTCCTAGCTTTTGTATTCATGATGTCAGGGATCATCACCAAAACCCCAGGAGACCTGGTGAGCAGCCTTTGCTATTTAAAAAAGGAAATATTACAATAATAATAACTCACTTCTTGGATGCCAGGCAGTGTCCTAAAACATATATATAGTCATATATATTAGTTATATTAACCGTCCCAACAACTCTATGTTTTTATTCATTTCACCAATGAGAATACTGAGGCCTGGGGTGTTTGTGTAACCAGGCCAAGCTCAAAAATCTAAGTGGTTGCTTGCTGCAGGTAAGTGGTCGAACTAGAATTCAAAATCAGGCCATGTCACAGCCCACCTTCCCTAAACCTACTATACTGCCTCTTCATTTTGGAGATGAAAAAGGAGAGGCACAGAGAGGTTCAGTGACTTGTCCAAGGCCACACAGTTGCTGGTTGCAGATTCGGGTCTAGATCCCAGGCTCCTGTCCTGCTGCCCCCCTTCAGCGATGTTCCCTTCAGGCATTTCCTTTGCATGTTCCCTGAGGTTGGTTTTTGTGTCTGCTGCTCCTTTTCAAGGACACAGGACCTTCAGCAGTGGGAAGGAAAGTCACTTTTCCTTGACATGGCCTTACCTCCTCCACAGGGCCAGCCAGCAGCCAGATCAGAGGCCCAGATCGCAGGCTCTGAAGCTGCTGAAGGAAGCCAGACATGGGGCACACTGGCTTGGAGCCTTCGACCCGTATAGAAAATCTATCCATTGGCTCAGCAAATCCCCATCGGGCATCAGGCCCTGTGATGGGCATTGAGGATACTAAGATGACTAAGGTCCACTCAGACCCTTAGCAAGCATGGCAGAGACCTAGAACAAATGTGCACAGGTTAGGGAGGATTCACAGGGTAGAACTGGGCTCCCCCTGTGACGCCAGCCTGTGATGAGGGAGATAGCATGGTTTAACCTGGGAGAGACACAGGCAGCTCCCCGTCCTGGTCTGAGAGAGGCTGCAAGTCCACCACCTGCACCTTCACTCCTTCCCTTTCCTGTGTCTAGTGCTAGGAGGAGACAAGGACCAGGACGGACGTTATTCAAAGCTGTGTTGCTTCTGCACTGACAGAAGTGACAGAGCAACTAAAGGTCAAGTGGAGCTCTCCTCAAGGCCTCGGGCCTTGATGCATGACTGGTCCTTTCAGTTCCCTCACACCCTTCCAGCCCCAGTGCATTCCAATCACAGTGAAGTCAGCATCAGCGGTCCTGGGTGCCAGCTTTCAGCCCCAGCCCCAGGTTGGCAGAGGAACTGACATCTTTGTACTGCACTTCCAAGGAGGTTTGAGGCTACACGTGTGTTGGGGTTTTCCCCTCTCCAGTTTACCCTCTTGACATGCATTAAGCAAACCACAATGAGAGAAAGCCAGGCATTAACACGCATGAAGACCTCTCTTTCCTCTCATCTCCAAGGATGATGCCAACTGACCCCATTCTGTAGCTGCTTACCTCCAACTCTCCACACCTGGGTGATGCACAGGTGCTGTGACTATGGCCCAGTCATACAAAGTCCCCAGGTCTCAGTCTTCTCGGTAAAATGGATAATAGCAAAATCTACCTCACAGGACTATTCTGTATTCAATTTGTGTGTTTGCCTAACGGTAACATCGAGAAGGGCCTTGCATCCTCTCACAGAGCCTCCACTTGTCTCTTTTCAGAAAGTCTGATGTCAGTATTGTCCATTTTGTTTGCCCAACAGCCTTAGAGGGTAAGTATTTTGTCCTTCTATCTCAGGGAGGTAAAAACAGAGCAGGAGTGTTGGCCGATGGCTGGTCACTGGGGAGCCCTGAAGTCTTGCAGGAAAGGAAGGTTCACTCACTCATCCATCTGGTTAGCGGGCGAGTCAGCTGACAAATGTTCTAAACACCTACTAACTCTTATTTTGCTTTCTCTGTGTCCCTCACACTCCACATTCAAGCCCAAAATAAGAACTGTGGGATGTAGTATCCAAAGTTGGTCTCCAGCCCCTGACTTTGCACCAGTTCATCTGCCATCACCACACCTCCACCAGGAAGGCCACAGCAGCCTCCTAACTGGCCTCCCAGCCTCAACTCCAGGCTCCCCATTGGTCACACTGCACTCATTTCTGCTGTTTTGAATTCACTGGCTACTCGGGAGCCAGAGTAATCATTTCAGCAACAGTTATGATTATATTACTTTCCTGCTTGGGACCTTTTGGTAACTTCTATTACTAGCAAATGCCAAACTTCTTCTCTGGCCCTCCATGAACTAGCTACTGCCCCTCTCCTGCTTGGCTCTGACTACTCACGGCTTTGTACCCCCTCAAACATTCTGAGCTCTTCTGTTGTAGTCTTTGCAGTTACTCTTTCTGCCACAAGAGCTCAGTTCCCTAGATGTTCTCAGGCTTGTGCTCGGAGGCCCTTTTCGAAGCACCTGTACCCAAGCATCCTAACCCCTCCCACTTCCTCCAACTCCCTTCAAAATGCCTTTTATAAATTCTTCTTTCCACC